AGGTAGGAGAGCACTTTGGTGATAGTGACCACAATTCAGTTACGTTTACTTTAGTGATGGAAAGGGATCGGTATATAAAGCAGGGCAAGAGTTATAGCTGGGGGAAAGGCAACTATGAGGCGATGAGGCAAGATTTAGGATGCATAGGATGGAGAAGGAAACTGCAGGGGCTGGGCACAATTGAAATGTGGAGCTTGTTCAAGGAACAGCTACTGCGTGTCCTTGAGAAGTATATACCTGTCAGGCAGGGAGGAAGTGGTCGAGCGAGGGAACCGTGGTTTACTAAAGAAGTTGAATTTCTTGTCAAGAGGAAGAAGGAGGCTTATGTAGAGATGAGGCGTGAAGGCTCAGTGAGGGCGCTTGAGAGTTACAAGTTAGCCAGTAAGGACCTAAAGAGAGAGCTAAGAAGAGCCAGGAGGGGACATGAGAAGTCTTTAGCAGGTAGGATCAAGGAAAACCCTAAAGCTTTCTATAGGTATGTCAGGAATAAAAGAATGACTAGAGTAAGATTGGGGCCGGTCAAGGACAGTAGTGGGAAGTTGTGCGTGGAGTCCGAAGAGATAGGAGAGGTGCTAAATGAATATTTTTCGTCAGTATTCACGCAGGAAAAAGACAATGTAGTCGAGGAGAATACTGAGATACAGTCTATTAGACTAGACGGGATTGAGGTTCATAAGGAGGAGGTGTTAGCAATTCTGGAAGGTGTGAAAATAGATAAGTCCCCTGGGCCGGATGGGATTTATCCTAGGATTCTCTGGGAAGATAGAGAGGAGATTGCAGAGCCTTTGGCTTTGATCTTTATGTCGTCATTGTCTTCAGGAATAGTGCCAGAAGACTGGAGACTAGCAAATGTTGTCCCCTTGTTCAAGAAGGGGAGTAGAGACAACCCTGGTAATTATAGACCAGTGAGCCTTACTTTGGTTGTGGGTAAAGTGTTGGAAAGGATTATAAGAGATAGGATTTATAATCATCTAGAAAGGAATAATTTGATTAGGGATAGTCAACACGGTTTTGTGAAGGGTAGGTCGTGCCTCACAAACCTTATTGAGTTCTTCGAGAAGGTCACCAAACAGGTGGATGAGGGTAAAGCGGTTGATGTGGTGTATTTGGATTTCAGTAAAGCGTTTGATAAGGTTCCCCATGGTAGGCTATTGCAGAAAATACGGAGGCATGGGATTGAGGGTGATTTAGCGGTTTGGATCAGAAATTGGCTAGCTGTAAGAAGACAGAGGGTGGTGTTTGATGGGAAATGTTCATCCTGGAGTTCAGTTACTAGTGGTGTACCTCAAGGATCTGTTTTGGGGCCACTGCTGTTTGTCATTTTTATAAATGACCTGGATGAGGGCATAGAAGGATGGGTTAGTAAATTTGCGGATGACACCAAAGTCGGTGGAGTTGTGGATAGTGCAGAAGGATGTTGGCGGTTACAGAGGGACATAGATAAGCTGCAGAGCTGGGCTGAGAGGTGGCAAATGGAGTTTAATGCGGAAAAGTGTGAGGTGATTCACTTTGGAAGGAGTAACAGGAATACAGAGTACTGGGCTAATGGTAAGATTCTTGGTAGTGTGGATGAGCAGAGAGATCTCGGTGTCCATGTGCATAGATCACTGAAAGTTGCCACCCAGGTTGATAGCGTTGTTAAGAAGGCGTACAGTATGTTAGGTTTTATTGGTAGAGGGATTGAGTTTCGGAGCCATGAGGTCATGTTGCAGCTGTACAAAACTCTGGTGCGGCTGCACTTGGAGTATTGCGTACAGTTCTGGTCACCGCATTATAGGAAGGATGTGGAAGCATTGGAAAGGGTGCAGAGGAGATTTACCAGGATGTTGCCTGGTATGGAGGGAAGGTCTTATGAGGAAAGGCTGAGGGTTTTGAGGCTGTTTTCGTTAGAGAGAAGAAGGTTAAGAGGTGACTTGATAGAGACATACAAGATGATCAGAGGATTAGATAGGGTGGACAGTGGGAGCCTTTTTCCTCGGATGGTGACGGCTAGCACGAGGGAACATAGCTTTAAATTGAGGGGTGATAGATATAGGACAGATGTCAGAGGTAGGTTCTTTACTCAGAGAGTAGTAAGGGCGTGGAATGCCCTGCCTGCAAAAATACTAGACTCGCCCACTTTAAGGGCATTTAAATGGTCATTGGATAAACATATGAATGATAATGGAATAGTTTAGGTTAGATGGGCTTCAGATTGGTTTTCACAGGTCGGCGCAACATCGAGGGCCGAAGGGCCTGTACTGCGCTGTAATGTTCTATGTTCTATGTTCTATGTTCTATGCTAGCATTCAATTTGACAGGACTAGAATACAAGAGCAGGGATGTTTTGCTGAGACTGTATAAGGCTCTGGTCAGACCACATTTGGAATATAGTGAGTAGTTTTGGGCCCCATATCTAAGTAAAGATGTGCTGGTGTTGGAGGGGGTGCAGAGAGGTTTATAAGAATGATCCCGGGGATAAAGGGCTTGTCAGACAAGGAGCAGTTGAGAATTCTGGGTCTGTACTCAATGGAGTTTAGAGGGATGAGGGGAGAGCTGATTGAAACTTACAGAATACTGAGAGGCCTGGATACATTGGAGGTGGAGAAGATGTTTCCCATAGTAGGAGAGACTAGGACCTGAGGGCACAGCCTCAAAATGAAGGACAACCCTTTAGAACTGAGATGAGGATGAATTTCATCAGCTAGATTCTTTGGAACTCATTGCTGAAGAAGACTGTGGAGGCCAAGTCATTGAGGTGTATTTAAGACAGAGAAAATAGGTTCTTGATTGGTAAGGGGATCAAGAGAAGACAGGAGAATGGGGTTAAGAAACATTTCAGCCATGATCAAATGGTGCAGCAGACTCAATAGACCGAATGGCCTCATTCTGTTCCTGTCTTATGATTCCATCTGGTGGCACTGATACCTACGGGTAAACAGCTGAACCCATCATATAGCAATCACTTACATGTATGTCCCTGCTCTTCATCTCCCTGGGCTCCTACAAAAATTAGAAAGTTCTGCAGTGAGAAATGGACATATCTATCTCACTGATATCTGTCTGTAAAAGCATTGTTGAAACAATCTTTCCAAGCAGCACTTTTTCACACTGAAGTTTAAAATTTAAGTGGTAGGTGAGGGAGGACACAGGAAGGTATTATTCATTTCACTGAGTAAGGTTACAAGTACTGCTTTCAGACAGCCATTACTGAACTAATTTTATTGAAACATTTCCAGAGAGAGACAGGGCAATATAACAAAATACTCATCTTGTAATATATAACACTTCCTCCCCACTTAAACAAACCTATCCTTTAAAATGCAACATATTACATGTGCATGTTCCTGGAATATAATATGACTACATTTGTTGCATTCTTGTCTTTACTGTAATCACAACTAAAATGTATACGACCAAGAAAAGATTTACAAAGATGTTACTGGGACTGGAGGTTTGAGTTATAGAGACTAGATAGGCTGGGCGGTTTTCCCTTGGAGCCTAGGAGATTTATAAACGTTATAGAGGTTTATAGATAAGGTGAATGGCAAATGTCTTTCCCCTAGGACGGGGAGTCCAAAACTAGAGGGCATAGGTTTAAGGTGAGAAGGGAGTTATTTAAAAGGGACCTGAGGGGCAACTTTTTCACACAGAGAGTGGTGCGTATATGGAATGAACTGCCAGAGGAAGTGGTGGAGGCCGGCATAATTATAAAATTTAAAGCACATTTGGACAGGTACATGAATAGAAAAGGTTTAGAGGGATATGGGCCAAATGTAGACAAGCGGGACCAGGTTAGTTTGGGAAACTTGGTCGGCATGGACGAGTTGGACCAAAGGATCTGTTTCCGTGCTGCATTACTCTATGACTAATAGTGTGGTTTACCATGAAAAGATATTACACAGCCATTTGGACAGAGATCTTGTAATGGGTGTAGTTTTGACAATCAGTGTCCTAAACAAATTAGGTTGTTCAAAATTTTGCCAAAATGATGCTCAATTCCGCATACACAAACCCTTGCGTTTATCTGTTGTAATCTCAGGATGTCCAAAAACACTTTACAGCCAATTAATTATTTTTCAAGTGTAGTTATGGTGTAATACAGGAACCAATGTGCACACAACAAGCAGAATTATACTGACAATCAGTTCATCTCTTGTTGGTTGAGCGATAGAGATTGCTCAGACTTCTGCACTTGAATTTATGCACGTCACACCCACAAACAAATAAAAACACAGGAATACAGGCCACTCAGCTTTATTTAGTTTTACATTTTTACTGGAGTCTAAAGCATTCTTTATAGACTTTACATTGTAAAGCCATCTTCAAAATACAGTTTAGGAATCTTCCCAAGGCATGATTTTGGCAGGGAGGTAGCAACATTTTGCAACAACTCACAGTGGGCATAAGCTCCGGTTAAAATTCTTAAAGAATAGGAAAATAGAAATGAACATTTGCTTGTATCTTCCTCCCATATAATAATTGAGTAATAATTTGATAATTAAAAGTTGAAACATTGAACTTTAATACAGTAGATTGAATCCAATCAATCCAATATTACTAATTTCTAAAACGGCATTTCACAAAAATACATTGAATTACTCGACAGGAAACGCACGCACAGCAAAGTACAGAAGTCGGCTTTATGAAGCTGATTGAAGGATTCGGAAATTCCCCCTGTTCCTGACAGTTGACATTAGGGGAAATACTAAAGTGGCAATGAAGCTCGTAAGAGTAAAGGTACCTTTGTGCTTACGTTATTAGCACACTGTGCATAAAATGCCATTGCAAGTGTCCAATTGTTTAAAAGTGAGAAATTTAATAGACTGTTGTTTAGATAACCCAAGGTTGTAATAGTTTCTGAAACTGGCATAAATACTTTTTCAATCATCAGGGCAACTTGCTTTAATCAAATAGTTAGTTCCTTGAAAATTAATTATCAATGACCAACTCTCTCAATGCACCAGACACTACATCCAGGCGAAAACAATTCTGCTTTGAAATCAGAACTGAGGAGTTCTTTAGGGAAAATGCAGAGCCTGCTGCCTCAGAGCAATTCTTGGCTTGTTACATCTCATGTTGCTTTCCGCCAGGGCTGACCGTCCGATTTTGCAGTTTTCCTCATTTATCTGGGAGGTTTCAGTTATTGGTGGCTGGAAGCCAGTCATGGTATTAGCCACGTGGACAACATGAATTTTATTGGTGGTTTGCTTCTTCAAGTGACAAGTAAAGACCTGCCTGAATCTCTTGCGAAAATGCTTTGATATCAAAGCGTACACAATAGGGTTGAGGCAGGAGTTGGCATAGGACAGGCAGTGTGAGATGAGGCGGAAGGCGTATGTTGCTTTATTGAACGGGAAGTAACCAAACCAGAAGCACATGATCACAACATGATGGGGCAACCAACAGAGGCAAAAGAGCACAGCAACAATGATTATCATTTTCGTCACCTTCCGCTTTGCTTTCTTCGACTCTGAGATGGTCTCAATGGGATCCACTGATGTCCACAGATACTTGATTGTTCTGGTGTAGGCAAGACTCAGGATCGCAACTGGGATTAAAAAGCCAAAAACAAACGAGGAAACATCCATTATTTTTCTCTTCCTGTCTTCCCATATTGGCACGCAAATGGGTATTCCCTCATAATGGACAATCTGGTAGTAACTCAGGTATGGTCCAGCCAGGATGATGGACAAGGCCCAGATTACAGCAATGGCAGCTGTGGCATTCCGTGCTGTGCGGAGGTCTCGGGATTTCAAAGGGTATCGAATGGCAAGATATCTACAGAAATAAAGAAACAAGAGATTCGCATCAATACGTCAGTCTTTCATTTTATTCCCTGAATTAGTTGATGCCTTTACAAGGTTTAAGAACATTTCCAGTCCTGGAACCCACTACAATGCTGCAGCACCAACATAATCCTGACCCTCCAATGCTGCAGGCTCCTTCCATACGCTTGGGCAGCAGCCCTTGGCAGAACAAGACAACGAGCTAAATCTATCAGCCAGGCTGCCTTCTGGATCCATGGAAGAGAGAGACCTGTACTCTGTGGAGTCAAACAGCATTGAGGGCAGTGAGAAAATCCCCGTTGCTCAGAAATCAGCCCTAGTGTAGCACAGGAGGTTCTACGAGTTCTGAAGAAAGGTCGCTGGACCTGAAACTCTGCTTTCTCTCCTCAGATGCTGCCAGACCTGCTGAGTTGCTCCAGCAACTTCTGTTTTTGTGTAGCACGGGTGGTCATTTGACTCATTGTGCCTCAGTGTGCTTTTTGAAACAGCTATCTGATTAATCTGTTTTCCAGTAGCCTTTTAAATTGTTGCCCCTTCAAGTATTTAACTAACTCGTTTTCAAATAATGAAACTGAATCTGCTTCTGGCAATTTTCAGCCAGTACAGTCTAGATCAATATCACACTTGAGTAAAATACAGCAGCCCTTAATTCATCATTGGTTCTTTAGTCAATTTATTTATGTGTCAATGGTTAAAAACAATTATTGTGCGAATTTGGAGAGTCCCATTCATGTCATTGTATCTAAGGAACACTAACAATTTGGATTTGCATGAATTCCCTATTTAAAAAGCCATAAATACTGGTGGAGATTATTTCCCAACTTTCAGTATTATAATCAGGTACTGCTGCATTGCATTCCCTAATAAATAATTTCTTACTAATGCTGATTGTCTGCTTCCAGGGGACTTCAGTCAGCGCATTCAAAATCAAACAAGTTCCCACTTAAAGTTGGCTTGTGCTGCCACAAGGTTTAGAGCTCAGGGTTCTATTTTGCATATTGGAGAAATGACTAATCTTGTTAGTATGCAGCCTTTAATCATTTCTCCTTACCCAAGAGTGACTGTACTCTGATCAATAGGTGCATGTCAATTCTTTTATTCCCAGCATTATACATAATGCTGTTCTCTGTAAGTACATCTTTCAGTATAGATTATTCAACCCTTTCTTCTGTCGTCCTGCCTGCTGATGCACCATTATGATATACATCGCTTTTTCATTATACTGCAAAAAATATTCGCATGTATTCCTTGGTTCTCTAGCCAATTCCTTCAGTTTGTGACCATCGGTTATTGATTTTCCCGCCAGTGGCAACAGCTTCTCCTTATTCACTCTGTCAAGATCATTCAAAATTCGAGCATCTCTGCTAAATCCTTTTTTAATCAACCTTGCTTTTAGGAAAATAATCTCAGTCAATTACTTCATATAACTGAAGTTCCTTATCCTTGGTATCATTTTAATATATCTCACTTGAACTCTAAGATCCTGATACCTTGCTAAAGTGTGGTGTCCAGAATAAGACACAATATTGTAGCTCTATAGCACTAGGGATCTAGAATGGAATATGATATCACAGAATCCCCACAGTTTGAAAGCAGGACATTCAGCCCATCAAGTCCACATCAACTCTCCAAACAGCATCCCACCCAAACCCACAGACCTACTCTTTCCCTGTAACCCTGCATTCTTCTAGTCCACCTAACCTGCATATCCCTGGACACTATGGGCAATTTAGCATGGCCAATCTATCTAACCTGCACATCTCTGGACTGTGGGAGGAAGCCAAAGCTCCTGGATTAAACCCACACAGATACAGGGAGAATGTGTAAACTCCACACAGACAGTTGCCCGAGGTTGGAATCGAACCCGGGTCCCTGGCGCTGTGAGGTCTATTTGCCTTGGATGGACAAAAACAAAATAAAACTATCTATAGGATCCCTACAGTGTAAAAACAGGGTATTCAGCCCAGTGAGCCAACACAAACCCTCCAAAGGGCATACCACCCAGACCCAACCCTTTTACCCTACATTTCCCATGGCTAACACACCTACCCTATACACTATCAACAATTTAGCAATGCCAATCCATCTAACTTGCACATATCTGGACTTTGGGAGGAAACTCACACAGACACTGCAAGAATGTGCAGACTCCACACGAACAGTCATCCAAGGCTGAGATCAAACCTGGGTCCCTGGTACCGTGAGGCAGCAGTGCTAACCACTGAGCCACTGTACCCCAACAGAACCAAATCAATTTTCAAAAACTGCTCAAAGTTGAATTGATGCTGGATGATATTTAAAAACAATGTAGGATGCCCCTCTATAAGTTAATGAGATTAAAATGCAATTATCCAATTACAACAGAAGAAGGGTAGCTGCATTGATGTTAATGATTGTGAAGAGCTTGCTATTGATTGTCCAAGATGGCAACAATTTGTCAATGAAGCTGCTCCATGCTTCAAGTTTCAACACCTTTATGATGAGACAGAGAAAAGGGTGAGATGTGAAGAAAATGCAGCAAATCCTGCACTCCAGATCCCACTACCTGTAGAATGTCCTATAAAGCCAAAGATCTGCAGGTTGACTATTGGCCTGTTCAGCCACATGAAGAGCCATGGAAGAAACTCTCAAACCTGAGTCGACATCCTCGAATCAACAGGGGCCAGCTGATGATGATGATCAGAAACGTGTGAGTATCCAGATTAGGAAATGATTGACGGGCTGGGAATCTTTTCTCATCTGAAAAAAGGGGCAACCTGACAGAGACCTTTAAAATTATTAAACATTTTCATCGAGTGGATACAGAAAGAGGTTCCCTCTTGTGAAAGACTGGGTCATCAATATAGGCATCAGGAGGAAATTCAATAGAAAATAACATCTTTACCCCAAATAGTGAGAATGTGGAACCTGCTACCCCAAGGAATGGTTATAGCAAATAATATAAATGGATTTAAAGGGAAACATTTGAGGGAAAAGGGTCCTGACAGTAGATTTAGAGGAGGATTGTGTGTAGAGGCTGGAATGGAGCATAAAAACCAGCAAGGATAGGGTTAACTCAAATGTTCCTGAGACAGAGAACCCACATATTGTGTATGTCACTCAGAAGGCCCAAGGCTAAGAACTTGGAAAATATTGAAGTCAAAAGTGATCTGGATGTCTTTGCTCATGGGTGGCCAAATGTTAGCATGAAGATACAGCAATCAGTTAGGAAGACAAATGGTATGTTGGCCTTCATCACAAGGAGATTAGATTGCAGCAGTAAAGGTGTCTTTCTGCAATTGTATGGAGCCTTGGTGAGAAGTCACTGAGAATATTGTGTACAGTTTTGGTCTCCTTATATAAGGAAGGAATATTTGCTGTTGTAGAGTGCAACGGAGCCATACAATCACACAGCACAGAAACAGACCCTTTGGTCCAAATCGTCCACGCCAACCAAGTTTCCCAAACTAAACTAGTCCCACTTGAATGCATTTGGCCCATATTGCTCTAAACCTTTCCTATTCGTGTACCTGTCCAAACGTCTTTTATGTATTATAACTGTACCTGCATCTATCACTTCCTCTGGCAGTTCATTCCACATACGAACCACCCTCTGATAATCCATGGAATGATAGTATTGTCATAGAATCATGGAATCATACAGCACAGAAGAAGCCCTTTGGCCTACTGAGTCTGTACCACCAAAAATACACTTCTACCTACACTAGTCCCACTCTCCAACAATAGGACCATAGCCCTGAATGTTTTGCCACTTCAAGTGCTCATCCTAGGACTTTTAAAATTTATAAGGTTGTGTGCCTCCCAGGCAGTGCATTCCAGGACCCAGCCCCATTCTCTGGGTGAAAAAGGTTTTCTTCAAATCCTCTCCAAACATCCTGCCTTTCACTTTAAAATTATGCACCTTTGTCTTAGGAGAGAATAATGCAGCAATTGAGTCTGTGCTCTGTAGAATTTCAAAGGCTGACAGGCAATCTCATTGAAACTTACAATTTTTTTTACAACGTGGGACAGAGCGGATGTAAATAGGATGTTTTCGCTGGCTGGTGATTTTAAAACCAGGGAGGGACACGGTGTCAAAATAACAGGTCATTTAGGATTAAAATGAGGAGTAATTTCTTCACTCAGAGGCCAGTGAATCTTTGCAATTCCCCACCCCATAGCACTTTGGGAGCTCTGTTATCGAGCAGGTTCAACATCACTAGATATGGAGAGATAGTACAGGGAAATGGTTTCTTGACCTGGGAGAATGGCAAAGTAGCCTTGATAGACTGAATGGCCTACTCCTGCTCCTATGACAGTGCCACATATTTCCAGCGAAGGAGCATTGCAATTTATTGTTAAATCAAACTCCAAAATTGAATATTTAGTGGAGATTTAGTGAAATGTATCGCTACCCTAAGCTGCTCGTTTGAGAATCAATTGTGTGTCAGCACAAGTAATGTTTGCAAAATTTAATCCACTCTGTGATCATCATTTAAAAGGCTGTGGCTGAAACTATTTTTATTTTAATACTGGTCAGCGATTAACATTCTCTGTTTCTAAAATGATCAGACAAAGGTGACCGATGACAATCTGCAGAATTGTAAATGCTGTCATGTTGTATCCTGTGACAGTCCTGATAATTCCCACTGCAGGTCAGCTTCTTGACAATTGTGTATGGACTATGTCGAATTGGAACTGAATAGATTAGTTGCCGTTCTAAATCTCACTGTGTTCCAAGATAACTTTCAAAGTCAAAATATTTCCCCTCAACATTTCAGGCAACCGGCAAAGGAAACAGAAGGCGAGTTGAGCATTTTCTTTCATACTGTGAAATTATTCCCTGAAAGGTCAGCATGTGCAGATTTAGTAACTTCCAAGTTAGAATTAGATAAGTTCTTGAAGGAGAGAAATTTGGTGATCTTTGGGAAAAGACGTGGGAAGGGGGTCTAATTAGATAGTTCTTTCAAAGATTTGGGACAGGAATGATGGACTGCATTCCTGCCCCTTCAGGGCAGTATAGTTTTATGGCACTGAAACTGGACCTCGAACCAGGTCCAGAGTATTAACCACAATATTATTTTCCTTCTTTTTTAGTCTTCCTCCTTCAGGGTTTCCTGCTCGGTGCCTGACATGGGGAAGACAGAAGATCTTACAGTTACATGTCCTGCATTATGCCAACATACTCTTTCAAGTAGTTGTGATTGAGTTGCTACCTTAACCTCTCCTGCTCTTAGTGTTTTGTGTTCACTTACCACCCTTCCTATAGAATTACCGAAAACTACAGGCCATTTGGCCCAACTGGTTGGTACTGATCTTTACACACCAGCCTCCTACCACCCTTCTTCCTTCTCCCTAACCAGTATGATAAGAACATAAGAAATAGGAGCAGGATTAGCCATTAACATTTTAAATTTAACACTACACCATTCAATACCATTCAATGGCAGATCTTCCAAATCAACTCCACTTCCTGCCTATCACCTGATCTCCATCTGTCTTTCTATAAATTTTCTCCTTCATGTGGTCTCTCAGTCTCTCATTAAAAACATCTATGCTACTCACCTTAATGACCCACATAGTAGCCACTCTAACAATCCTGTTGATCTAATTTTGGACATCTATACAAGTTGAAGGAATTTCTCTGCCCAGACAACAGCAGACATTGGGAAGCAACTGTCAGAGCGAGAACCCATGTGTAACTCTTTTGCGAGTGCAGTTTCTAGGAACACCCAATGTGGCCATCCAACTTGGCAAAAGTTATAACGTTATAGGAAGGATATTATTAAGCTGGAGAGGGTTCAGAGGTGATTTACCAGGATGTTGCCGGGTATGGAAGGTTTGAGTCATAAAGAAAGGCTGGATAGGCTGGGACTTTTTTCACTGGAACGAAGCAAGTTGAGAGGAGACCTTATAGAAGTTTATAAAGTATACAAAGGTTAATGACAATTGTATTTTCCCTAGGATGGGGGATTTCAAGACTAGGGGACACATTTTTAAGGTGAGAGGAGAGAGATTTAAAAAAAGACATGTGGGGCAAATGTTTTACACAGAGGGTGGTTCGCATTTGGAATGAACTTCCTCAGGAAGTGAATACAATTACAATGTTTAAAAGACATTTCGATAAGTAAATGAATAGGAAAGGTTTGGAGGGATATGGACCAGAAGCCGGCAGATGGGATTAGTTTATTTTGGGACTATGTTCGGCATGGACTGGTTGGACTGATGGGTCTGTTTCCATGCTGTGTGTCTCTATGGCTCTATACATGGTACAAACAACACAGGAAGCAGACTCACCTGTCGACTGATACAGCAGCCAATGTGAAGCTACTCGCATACATGGTGAGGTAGATGAAAAAGTGGACCACTTTACAAAGGAATGAGCCAAAGACCCACCCGTCCAGTGTATAGATGGTGGCTTGAAAAGGAACACAGAAGATAATAAAGAACAGATCAGCTATGCTTAGGTTTAAAATAAAGAGATTGGTTGTGTTATAACTCATCTGGCCATTCCTCAGCAGCACTGCCAGAACAAGGCCGTTCCCTATAGTTCCAAGTAGGAATATCAGTGAAAAGATGATCGGAACGATGATGCTTGCAGGCAGATGATTTGGATTTTCAGAGACCTTCCAGTCATCCGCCATATTGGTGTCAGGTAGATGGCTTTACCAAGCAAATGTTGGTGAAATTCTGCAAATACATGTAACAATAAAATTAGAACAAACATTGGCAATTGTTGAATCTTACAGTGACATTCTCCCATTCTTTTCAATAACAAATTCCTCAGCAAGTGAGTTAATAGATCTAGTACTATGGATGGTACTCAGCCACACAGAAGACTGGTTTCATTTGTAATTCATATTTAATTTTAAAAAATAATGCAACCTGTCCAGACACATTACGACACATGTGGGGCAGTTAGGACTTGAACAGAGTCTTCTGGACCAGAGGAAGGGATACTACTACTCCAACACAAAAGCCTTAATTCATGTCAGTTAGCTGGCTTCAAGTTAGGATGGCTGTATAATTGATCCTAGCAACAATAATCTAATCAGAAGAGTAAGCAGCTGAGATTCCCGCTCCTGGCAATTAGCAATGCACCTCCATTAAAAATGATGGATTTCGTGTGAGGATTAAGTCCAGCTGAACTGGAAGACTTCTCCAGTCAAATAGCCTTCCAGAACTCATTGCCTAGACTCGCACACACAACATGGCCACTGTGGCCAAATCCAGACAGCATCAGTGAAATGATAACCTGAGAAAAATGAATCCTCCTTCAGGAGAGGAGAGAAACAGATGGAAAATACTGTTATTCACACCTGCACACTCCAATAGCGGCCTTGCATCTATTACTTCTACAGGATTTTAAACTTAAAAGATTTCAATACCATCATTTATTTAAAGATAATTCACAGTTCTGTCTATTTGTCAACAACCATTTTACAACATTCAGCATTAAGCATGTAGCATAAGAGCAGTGGTTCTAATTAACAAATTAAATTGAAACACATTTTGTTCGTTAGTCTGATAAAGAAACCCTGTGATATACTGAGAACACCTTTTATCATTTTAGTGGTTTTACTAGACACTAATTTTCCTCTCCTTTCTGCACTCCCTCATCCCCACAGAATCTTTTACAATAATGAAAGCTGCAGAAATAACAAATAACCAAACAACTGAGATGAATTTCCAAAGCCAAGAGGAAAACTGTTCAATATTTCATTATTAACTACAAACAGTTCTACAGCAGATCTAGTGTAACAGCATAATGTCACAGTGCAGTTAGTCAGAAATGTATTACACCCCCAGACCTGCATTTGGCTTTCAGCTGATCATTTTGGTTAATGGTGAACGTCTAAACAGGGTCATATACCAATAGCTGCTTAGAATGGGCTAGGGACTAGAGTGGGTTAGGGGTTAGGATGGACAAGGGACTAGAGTGGGTTAGGGGTTAGGATGGACAAAGGACTAGAGTGGGTTAGGGGTTAGGACGGACAAGGGACTAGAGTGGGTTAGGGGTTAGGACGGACAAGGGACAAGAGTGGGTTAGGGGTTAGGACGGACAAGGGACTAGAGTGGGTTAGGGGTTAGGACGGACAAGGGACTAGAGTGGGTTAGGGCTTAGGATGGACAAGGGACTAGAGTGGGTTAGGGCTTAGGATGGACAAGGGACTAGAGTGGGTTAGGGGTTAGGATGGACAAAGGACTAGAGTGGGTTAGGGTTAGAATGGACTAGGAGTTAGAGTGGATTAGGGGTTGGAGTGGGTTAGAGGCCAGAGTGGGCAGGGGCTAAATTGGGTTAGGGGGCAGAGTGGGTTAGGGGTTAGAATGGACAAGGGGCTAGAGTGGGTTAGGGATTAGAGTGGGCTGGGGTTGGAGTGGAGTAGGGACTAGAGTGCATTAGGGATTGTTGGAGTGGAGTAGGGGCTAGAGTGGG